CTACGTCGTAAAGTGAGAAAGTTGTTCAATAAAGCAAAAAACTCGCGACTAGACCAACATTGGGATGCCTACACGCAGGCCCGACAACAATATAAGAAGAGAATCAGAACCAGGAAAACTGAGTGCTGGAGAAACTTCTGTACTAACATAGAGAACAACAACCAGGCCAATAGAGTCAAAAGCATACTGTGTAGTAGAGGCGAACACAATCTTGGCTCACTGAAGAAGCCTGATGGTAAGTATACCAAAACAGACTCGGAAGCCTCAGAGCTGTTATTAAAAACACACTTCCCTGGATGTCGCATATCAGATGTGATGGAAAAATGGGAAGACAGATGGGAAAAACCACCAGATGATACAGACTGGGATACGGCCCGCAAAGTTGTCACCCATGACAAACTAAGATGGGCAATTAACAGCTTCCTACCATTCAAGGCGCCAGGACTAGATGGTGTCTTCCCAGGCCTACTGAGATGGTGTGATACGACATTACTGGACCATCTTATAAAAATCTACAGGGGCTGCCTGGCGCATCAGTACATCCCCTTGAAATGGAGAGAAGTTAAAGTAGTCTTCATCCCCAAACCTGGTAAAGGTGACTACACACAACCCAAATCACACCGACCTATTAGTCTCACATCTTTCCTACTAAAGGTTCTTGAGAGGCTAATAGATAGGGAAATCAGGGAAACTGCGTTAGTCAGTCATCCTCTACACCTCAATCAACACGCATACTCGATGGGTAAATCAACAGAATCTGCCCTACATCGAGTTGTTTCATATATAGAAGACAATCTAAATCACAAAAGGTCAACACTGGCCACCTTTATCGATATCGAGGGAGCCTTTGACAAGACCAACTTCACCAGCATTAGCCAAGCTCTGTCTAGGCATGGTGTTGATTCCACAATCTCAGGGTGGATCGACAGCATGCTAAGATATAGAGCTATACAATTCACTGTGAGCGAAGTGACTAGAGGAGTGGTGGCTAGAGGTTGCCCCCAGGGCGGTGTACTCTCCCCCCTTCTATGGAACATTGTTGTGGATGAGCTCATCGCACAACTTAATGACCAAAGATTCCTCACAATAGGCTATGCAGACGATCTTACCATTCTCATCAGCGGTCCTTTTGAGAGCATTACATGCGATCAAATGAGACTTGCACTGAAGATCGTGGAACAATGGTGCGCAGCACACAACCTGACAGTGAACCCATCCAAAACAGAGATGATCATGTTCACAAACAAACGCAGCCTAGGAAATCTCAGACTTCCCAAGCTATTTGGAACACAACTTACTCTTACCAAAGAGGTCAAATACCTAGGAGTAATACTGGACAGTAAACTCCTGTGGAATAAGCACCTCGATGAAAAATTGAATAAAGCCTGCATTATTTTCTGCCAATGCAAGCGGCTACTCGGCAAAAGCTGGGGACTATCACCCAAAATTACTTTATGGCTATACAGGACAGTCATAAGACCAATAATCACTTACGGTGCTGTTGTCTGGTGGCAGAGAACAGAGCTAAGCACCGTCATAAACAAACTGCAGCAATTCCAGCGACTCCCATGCTCCGCGGTCACTGGCTGTATGCGCACAACGCCTACTGCCGCACTGGAGGTGGCTCTTGGTCTGCCACCCCTGGATCTATTCATACAGCAGGAGGCCGCCATGGCGATCATTAGACTCAAACACCTAGGTCTATGGCACAAAAGGGAGGGATCGCACTCTAAATTATGGGATCAATTGGTGGAATACGAACCACTGATAGCAGCTCCATGCGATAGAATCCCAAAACACCATATCTTCACAAGAAGATACTACATCCAGATACATGGAAATGACCGAGATCAATCCGGCATTAACGAAGTCCGAATTTACACGGACGGTTCCAAGACTAGGTCAGGAACTGGAGCCGGCGTTTTCTCGCAAGACCTAAATATAAACATATCACTAGCGTTAGGCCAACACAGCTCCATATTTCAATGTGAATGTGTGGCAATAACTTACGCCGCCACAAGGGCCATGTCAAGGGGTATCAAGGACTACAACATCCGAATAATATCCGACAGCATGGCCGTCTTAAAGGCATTGGAGGGCAACACAATGACCTCTGGTGTTGTCCTCGAATGCCACCAAGCACTGGAACAGCTCGCTATATTCAATGGGGTACTCCTCCAATGGATTAAAGGGCACAGTAACTCACACGGGAACGATGCCGCAGATGAGTTGGCAAGGAGGGGCTCGGCAACCCCAACCTCTGGCCCAACCCCACTCCTGCCCATATCGTTTAACCAAATACGATGCTGGGTCAGGCAACGGACCTGTGAAGCACACAACCGGAGGTGGAAAAACTCACCCGGCTGCAGACAGTCCAAACTGGTGCTGAATCAAGTCACGCCACGACTAACCTGCAGACTGATCAGTCTTAGCAGACCGGAAATCAAAATGGTTGTCGGAACTATTACAGGACATCTAGCCCTGAACCGACAACTATTCATAGTCAATGCGACGGACAGCCCCCTGTGCAGGGGGTGTCTGGAAGCTGAAGAAACGGCCGCCCACGTAGTCCTGGAATGCGAGGGAGTGGCCCCACAACGGGCAAATATCATTCCTGATATAAAGTCGCTCCTAGAAGCCTGTGAACGCCCCAGGAGGCTTCTGCGCTTCTGGAAGGAGCTTGGCTGGCTCACCTAGTCAACCAATCCCCGACGCATAAAGGACCACTCTGAGTCTAAATGCGGAAACCGAGGCCCACAACCAATACCAATACCAATAGGATCAGTCGGCCGTTGGTGAGATGGCTGAGGTTATTATTAATGAGGACAATGCAGTGCATATTATCTCTTGTTATGAGCTTAATATTTAAGATAGAAAAATAAATATTTGTTTAGAAATTAAATAGTTAACTACTAACGACATTATTAAATAACTGTTTATCAACAAATACATTTATTGGTAGCGTATTTGAGAATGTTTGAAGTTTGAAGTTGGAGGGTTTTTCACTATAAATAAGTTTCTAATTCAATTTTTTATTACTTACCACAAAATTTATTTGCAAGGATATATTATAATAGAATAGTTTTGTCTTAATTAAACACTAGTTTTTATGTTAGCTACTAAGTGACGTCGTGCTAAAGTCATTTTGCAATACTGATTAGAGTAAGAGTTTTAGAGGTCACTCGCGTGCCGTTGTTATAGTAACAGAGTAACTGGGTCCCTGAGGGCTACTAAAATGCTAAACACGATACGAACGTCTTACACTGACTTAACAAGCTGACATTTTTTACGCCTTTAATAATATAAGAATTTGATTAGTTTGTTAAAATTTCATGTTCAGCTCATATGATTTCTAAATTATTGTCTTAGATATTGTTGCTTTTCTTTAAATTATTTTTTATGAAAACTGAATGTTTTGTTTTAATAAACTTAGGGGTCATTCGATTGACTCTACTCGGGGGTTGTGCGGTCCATGGCCCTTTATAGGGCCCCAGTATGGACGGAAGTCCTGAAGGCCAGCAACGTCGTACTACTGAGACGACCGCAACGAGTACTGGCTATCTGGGTCATAAGGAGGTACCGCACGATCTCCTTTGAGGCGGCAAGTCTCCTAGCCGGAACTCCACCATGGGACTTGGAGGCGAGAGCCCTTGCGGCTCTGTATCGGTGGCGCAAGAAGGCGCGGGAGCTGAGACGGAGTCCTGAGTCCTGAGTCCTGAGATTCATAAATCCCAGCTCCGCCAGGTCCTCGTGGAGGAGTGGATGGAACGACTTGGGCAATCGAGCGCTGGGCACGCCGTTATCGCAGCGATAATAGCCGTTATGGAGGATTGGCTCGAGAGGCATTACGGGACCCTCTCATACCGGTTAACGCAGGCGATCGTACCGGGGATCACCCGTGTCTGATCCCCAAGGTACCGCCTGGGTACCGCCACTGCGATGGACACGGCGCTCCACACTCTAGTAGAATGCCCGGCGTGGGTGGAGCAGAGGCGTGACCTCGTGGCGGCCGTCGGGGTGGGAGATCTCTCGCTCGGTTACATGATGGCAGCCATGGTGCGGAGCGAGACTGCGTGAAACTCCGCCGTCTCCTTCTGCGAGCAGGTTTTGCTTGCGTCACTATAGCAGAAGCAGGCCGGGGTTCGAATCCGACATAATCACCCACTGGTGGATGGTATCCGAGGGGAGTTCCGCACAGAAAAAAAAGGGGTCATTCGGTTTTACAGGAATCAGGTGAAAGTAAGCGTCGTCACTGTTGCAGAGAATACGTGGTAGTCCTAACCTTCTCCTGAGTGTCATTGCAGACAGACATGACAATCCTACAATGACTTACTTATGCAAATTACATGTACTAACATAGTTATTAAGGTCAACTGTATATACTTTATTACAACAGTTCAAAGTTAATTTGAAATTAATACATTGTATGAATGACGAGGAATGATTGTATTGTCCCTATCCGAGATCAAGTTCGGCGCACTGCAGCCCACCACATAATGTTAGGAAGCTATCATCATGTACTGATCGGCATAAGAACTTTATTTGCGCTATGCACGATTAGTAATTATTTCGTAGCCCGGTGTGTCTTCGCTAAATGTTGTTGAAATATGTTTATTCCTGTATGTGTAATTAACTACAGTCTATGATGAATTGCACAGAAGTATTTCATAATAGTGCTTGTTTAACAAGCCATTGCATTTTATAAATTATTATTTTTGAAACGCTTAAAATATTTTTAAGTAAAATTATTCGTGTATATCAAATACACATTAGGCATTGTTAAAAATCCTAAATGATTAGGATGATGAGGAATACATCTAGAACTTTTGTCTCTGTGTTTACTTAAAAATATTTATTCTAAGCGATTATGTATAGTATATACTCATTTACGAGTATAACGAATGCATCAGACACTAAACCTCAAATAAACTGACAGGGGTTGACAAAGTTTTTTTATCCGATATTCGTATCAGATAAAGTGTGTTTGTTTAAGTACTTACTTGACTCTCTAACCCAGTAGTTGATGGACTTAGGTGAAGACTCCACGTAGCATTCTAACGTGACATCAGTGCCTAGTGGAGCTCCCACCAACTGATTGGGCACGTGGATCACCGGGTGAACTGAACAAAAACAATTCCATTTTGAATTTAAACATTTCGATTTAAATATATCATTGCACAAAATACGAAATGCAAAGAGAAGAGAAAATTTGAGAGTGCGATATTATTCCAGAAAAGTAGACTAATAATATTCAAGTTAAATCTTGCATAAAAGCGAAATGTCCGCTCGAGTTGACGCGAAGACATAACAGTCCCCTACAGCCAGAAAATAATTAAAAGCTACTACTCGCTGACATTAAATAACACCATTAATAACAAGAAACCTCTGAAAGTTGCCGAGATAAACAACAATTACGACGAATTTGGCGAGGACCCATTTTGTCGTCAAATGAGGTTGCTGCTAAAACATTTTTGAAGAAAAAACATCGAACCCTAATAAACCTAATTGCTACTTTAGCCTTGTTTTGATATTTGGTAAACATAAAAGTATATACGTGAGTTTGTAGTACAAAAGTTTACTATTCTCACGATCAATGTTTGTGTACAAAGACAAGAATTACTGACGCTAATAATAAAATAGCTGTTACTGTTACCTTTTACAAAAATATGTTTATTTGGACTATCCGCGTGTTGACGGATTACGGAGTGTTACCACCCCTATTCATCCCGTGGGTGTCCCTTTCCTAACCCGTCTGGCTATCGTGGCATAGTAGGCCAAAACCTCCTTCCTAAAGAGGAGCCGATGTCCACTATGGACCTTTAAAATCTGTTGTTGATGATGATTTATTTGTACCAAACAATAATGGTAGGTTAATTTAACTGTAAATTTTATAATTTATAGAATAACTTACAATGCACTTTGATGGTGATTCTCTTGCTAACGGTTGGCGGTACACCATTACTTGCAATGCATAAATATGCACCCATATCTGAACGTGATATTTTCGTTAAAGACAATATTTCCTTGTCGTACTGCGCAACTGGAACATGAATCTAGTATTATTAATGTAGTCGCCACGATTCAAATATACCTAGTATTAAAACTTCAAATTTTAAAGCTGTCACCTTACTACTTAGTTATCATTTTGTATCCGGTACCAAAATATTTAAATCAACTTCAAGTCGGCATAAAATATAGTTCGTGTCGATAATAAGCCAACAGCCTTATTTTTATTCTGGGAACAGGAGTCGTACCTTTTATTTTGCTGCCATTAGAATCTCTAATTACAATATCAGCTCCATCTTCACGCCGCCACAGGACCCTAGGTTCTGGCATACCTCTAGCTCGACATGTAACTCGTGCAGTACCTCCCTCAGGTACCATTACATCTCCTGAAGTTTCCTCAGCTATAAAATCTGGTGGTATAACCACTTCAAGGTAGCCCATCTAGTAAAAATAAATTATATACACATTTAATAAACAATAGAAATCGCATTACAGTCGAATTTAGACCATTTTGAATATTTTATTTCATTGACCAGTATAACTTGAATTGTTAATGCACAGATTGTTGTACCACGACAGGTCAAAATATAAACTGAAAACCTGATAGTTCTGATTATATTAAATAAGTTTCTACATTATAGCATACATTGTTTAAAATTTTTAGTTTTCTGCACTCATTCTACAATCATTACGTCTTTCAAATATAATTTGCTCCTAACGCCATATTTTTTAAAAGGGGTACCAAGAATTTCGTACTTTTAATATAGGAAGATGTATATTTAATTATATTTTAATACAAAAAGAATACGTCTATCTCCTTAAACTCAAATATCTTTATTTCATTTTTATAATGTTTGAAATCGTCTGTTCTGTAGACTCTAAAGTCATAAATCAACACACACAATAGTAACAATAAATCAGTAGTCCTAAATCAGCAGTAGTGATTTTCGCAATGTTAGTTTTCAAAAGTACCAAGACGTGTTCGTTTTTTATCCACTACTGTACCGTTCATTCCAGTATCTAGATTTTTTCTGACTGACTGAAAAATAACTATTCCTGAAGGAGAGAACAATTATTTTGTACAGACGAAGTCACACTTAAAAGCCAATGTATTACAGTAATATCGTTTAAGCCCCATAATTATATCAGTCAAACACAGTGCAGTCTATAAAATAAGGTCGATTATGAATCGGTTATACGAAATAAGTCTTTACAGTTATCAAATGTGTTAAATTGTCTATTTAAGTTTAAACAAACTGTAAAGAAAGTTATCAATTATACAGGAATGACTGTAATATAAATATTATAACTGGAAATGATCCGTGTGGTGACAGATTAAGAATACAGAGTGTCAACACCACTATTCATACTGTGGGTGTCGTAAGAGCCGACTAAGGGAGCAAAATACGCAGGACAACAGCACTGCAAAGAGAAGGAAAGCTTGACACAAACCCTTTTTTTTTTTTTTTTTTTAACGTGTGGAAATCCCCTCGGACCGTCACCCCTCCGGGGTTTGCGGCGGGGTGGTGTGTCGGACTCGGACCGACTAAAACCACACGGTGTGCCACTCTGCGCCTGTAACAGGAGGGATCCGGGAACAGCTGTTGTTAAGACATCCGGACCCCTCCTAGCGCCAGCCCACTCCTGGTGCGGGCTCCGTCTCACTGTTGATGTTCCTCTCTTTAGGCGACGTCCGGCACACGCGGACGCCGCCCCCTCGCGGCTGGCCAAACTAATGCGGGTGGAGGGGAAACCCACCCCGTCCACCCGCGGCCACACTCAGGGCGGCATGAGGCTGTGGAAGGCGGGCCTCCGCCGCCCGGTTCGCCGGCGGCGGATCGGGTCCGAGTGGAGGTCGTCCTCCCGGGCCCTCTCCGCCGCCTCCTTCCGCGAGATTACTACCTCGCAGAAGGTTGCGACCGCGGTAAAACAACTGTCGCTACCGGCCATGGAGCGTACTACGGCCGGTAGCGAGAGATCCACTCCGATGACTGCAGTGAGGGCCCGGCGCTGCGCCGCCCATGCGGGGCAGACCGCCAGCGTGTGCTGGGCCGAGTCCTCACTGCAGTCGCAGTGGTGGCAGGCGGGACTCAGTTCCCTCCTAGCGACCGTGTGCAGGTACCTTCCGAAGCAACCGTGCCCGGAAAGCACCTGCGTCAGTCGGAAGGAAAGGGTCCCGTGCTGCCGCCCTGCCCACTCGGCGATGACCGGCTGGAGAGCCTCCACGGCGGCGAAGCCAGCGCGTGGAGTCTCCAGCCGGAACGACCAACGAGCCATCGTGGCTCGGCGAGCGGCTTCGCGCCACTCGCGCACATCCTCGGGCGGAGGGCGAAATCCGCTCTCCGCCCGGGAGTCAGCCACTCGCCGATAAACTTCGGCGAGCACTTCCGCCTCCAAATCCCACGGGGGAGTTCCGGCCAACGCGCATGCCACCTCCGTAGAAACGGTGCGGTAACCGCGTATGGCTCTGACCGCCATTACCCTCTGAGGGCGCCAGAGGCGTACCCTATTCTGGGCGGTCAGAGCCGCCGCCCACACCGGTGCACCGTACAGCGCCATTGACCGGACAACCCCCGTGTACAGCCGCCTTGTCGCGACGCTGGGTCCACCCATATTGGGCAAAAGTCGCCCTAGGGCAGACGCAGCGCCGACCAGCTTTGGAGCAAGCTGTCGGAAGTGCTCGTCGAAGAGCCACCTCCCGTCGAGGATCAGGCCCAGATATTTCATCTGGGCCCGAACCGGTACGAGGACCGAGTTGACCACGATTGAGGCGCCAGGGGGTGGACCACGACGGGGCCCATGGAATAACAGGGCCTCCGTCTTATCTAGGGCCACCCGTAAGCCCAGCGCCTCAATGCGCCCGACCACCAGGGAGACTCCCCCTGTGGCCAGGCGCGCCGCCTCTTGGAAGTTTGCCCCCCGGGCTGTCACGAGGGTATCGTCTGCGTAACAGATTACACCCAGCCCGGGGGGGAAATCGGCGCGAAGGGCCCAGTCGTACCCTATGTTCCACAAGAGGGGTCCAAGAACAGACCCCTGTGGAACACCGCACGACATGGGCCGACACCTCAGATTACCTTCTCGGTCCTCGTACACGACGGTACGCTCCTCAAAATAGTCTGCCACCAGCCGCCTCAGGTACTTTGGCACCCCATGATAGTGGAGTGCTTCCCTGATGCAGCTGAATGGCAGACTATTGAATGCGTTGGCGATGTCCAGTGACACCGCCAACAGCACGCCGCCACAGCTCACGGCCTCTTCGGTCACGGCCCTCAGGCGCAACACGGCGTCGACCGTCGAACGCCCCGCCCGAAAACCAAATTGGGCGTCCGACAGATCGGGGCCCACCTCGCAGAGGTGCCGGACGATGCGGGCAGAAAGAACCCTCTCAAACAATTTGCCCGCCTCGTCCAGCAGCACGATGGGCCTATAGGCCGCGACCGAATCGGCAGGCCGTCCCGGCTTCCTCAATAGGACCAGCTTCCCGCTCTTCCAGCACTCAGGGAAGCGTCCCGACGCCAAGCTAGCGTCGAACACCTCCCCGAGGCGGTCTGCCATGTGGTTGAGGGCCAGGGCCAGCACTCGAGCCGGTACCCCGTCTGGCCCAGGGGCGGTGTTCTTGGAACGGATCCGTAGAACAGCCGCCCCTACCTCCGATTCCCGGACGGGCGGAACATTATCCTCCCCGTGCTCCCCGTCGTCTCCGGCCAAGGAGGCCATCGACGGGGGAGTGTGTTCCGCCCGTTGTGGGAAAAGGCCCTCAACCACTTCTCGCAGGAAGCTGGGCTGGAGAGTCTCCGTAAGGGGGGGGCCCGACGCGCGGAGCTTTTGTCGCACCGCGCGGTAAGGGCGACCCCAGGGGTCACGATTAAGACCCTCCAGCATCTCCTGTCTTTTTTTCTTCTTTGGCGCGGCTAATGGCCAGCTTCAGAGTTTTCCGCGCCCGTCGGTACTCCTCATGAAGCCGGTCCTCCTCACCGTCTCCACGGTGACGCCGCCGACTGCGCGTGTAGGACCTCCGGGCACGTGTACAGGCCGCACGGAGGTCCGCCAGCTCCTGGGACCACCAGTAGACCTCCTTCCTTGGAGGCCGACGACCTCGAACGCGGGGCATGGCCGCATCGCATACATGCGTAATCGCATCGCGAAAGCGGCCAGCCCCCACGTCGACCTCCTCGATCGGAGCCTGAGGAGACAGCCACGAGTGAATTATGGCTGCCTCCTCTAGTAGGTCCCGGTTCAGCCTGGCAACAGCCCACCGCGGAAAGCGGGATAAACGCCGCGCCACGTGACCCCTACTGGAGTCCTGGGTCCGGGAGAGCTCAAATCGGATATACAGGTGATCCGAGAGCGTCTCAACCTCTTCCAGGACACGCCAGTTCCTTACTCGTGCGGCGAGGGCAGGGGTAGCGAACGAGAGGTCCACTATCGACCCCCCCTGCTGTCGCACGCACGTGTTGGTGGAGCCTCTGTTTAGAAGACAGAGGCCCACCGAGGCCGCCCACTCCTCTACGGCCTCGCCCCTGGCGTCCGTCCTGGGGGAACCCCACGCAATGGACTTTGCGTTGAAGTCCCCCAGCACAAGGACTGCCACGGAGCCGTCCCAGTCACCCATCCAGTTTGGACGGGGAGGGACAGAATAGGGCTCCGCGACTACGGCAACACCTATCGACCACTGTGCCATGGTTTGCAGGAAAAGATCCTGCGCCGCGGCACAGTGGTTCAGGTTCGTCTGGACCAGGATGTTGGAGACTTGATCCATTACTGGATCGTCTCTACAACCTCCTCCATGGGCGACGACGTCGACGCAATATTGACGTCGGGGGTAGCCTGGGTCGACTGGCTAGCCCCTGACGTCTGCCGAGAACTGCGGGGAGGCTTGCAGCCTCTCTGCCCCATCTGGTGATTCGCGGGCTTATTGCCCGCCGCACACACTGGGCAGTGAGGGGCGGCAGAGCATTCTGCCGCCTTATGCCCCGGTTGACCGCAGCGGAAACACAGTCCGCCGCAGTCAAAACAACTGTCGCACTTGACGCGCGTGTGTCCCGATGCTAGGCATTTGTAGCACCTCATCGGTCTCGCCGCCAGGACTGTGATCCTGGCGCTCACGAAACCGACGAGAAGCCTGCCGGCGTCGGCCAATACTTTGGCCGACGCTACGGGACAGCTGACCCACACGGCGCCAAGCCCTCCTGGACCGGGGCGGATGGTGCCGACCCTGACGTTGTCCGCGCTGCACCCCGTCTTCTCCCGGATTACAGCGCGGACATCTTCGGCCGTCACTGAGTCGTCCAGGCCCGAGATGCGCAGTTCCGCGCACTTGGTAGGCCTGGCGACCCTGACACCATCTGTGGCTGCAAATATTCCCCGCAGCTTCTCAGCGAAGGAGTCCGCCGTCTTTGCGCCTTCAGCCCCAGGGAACTCGAGAACTCGAGCTCCCGTCTGGGCGAGGCGCATCCTGACCCCCACCGTCCCAAACTCGTTGGCGAGGCTGTCCCGGGCCTTTTTGAAGACGGCCGCATAGGACAGCCCGCCGTCAGCCGCCTCCGGGGACAAGGTCACAACTACAGCCGCGGTTTTGGGCGGCTGCAGCTTCCGCGGCCTCTTTGCAGAGGCCGTTGCCACCGGTGGCGAAGGCTGGGCTTGGGCTGCTTTTTGGGCAGCCTTTCTGGCCCGCCTTCGGGACTTCTTGGAGCCCCTCGCCTCCTGCCAACCCTCGTTGGAGGGGGCAGGTGCGGAGGGGCCCGGCAGGGGTGTCGGAGTGGGGAGCGGAGGGAATGCCACTCCGCTCCTCGGCGCCGTTTTAGGCCCCGTCTTGGCCGGCGCCTGGGGATGTGCCTTGGCCGGCGCCTTAGCCGGTGCCTTGGCCGGCGCCTGGACCGGTGCCTTGGCCCCCCTCCTCAGCTTCTCGTTGGCCACCTGTAGGCGCGATACGTCGCCCACTAGGCCCTCCACGACCTCCGACAAAGCGGAGGAGGAGTCCTTAAGGGCCCTCACAAACGAGCCCTTAAGGTTCACAGATTTGGTGGCCACCTTGTCGATGACGGCCACCGCCGCTTTCGCCCTCTCCTGCACGGACACGGGAGCCTGGGGGGCATTTCCCCCCACCGGCTCCCGAACCTTGAGCAGGAGATCCGCGATCTCCTCCTCCGCTACGGCCTCGCCGTCCACTCGTACGCTCCTGTAGGACTCCGCGTTTGAGAACGCGGAGCCTGACGGGGTCGAGACCGGGGCCGTTTTGCGTGCCCTCCCTCGGAAACCCTATACCAACCCGTCTGGCCAGCGTGGTGTAGTAGGCGAAAACCTCCGTCCTAAGGAGAGGCCTATGTCTAGCAGTAGACTAGTAAAGGCTGTTGATGATGATGTGATGATAACTGGAATTGCAAAATTAAAAGAAATCAATCTAGTATGCTTTCCTGGAACTCCTCCTGACTGCCGAGGTAGGCCGCCGCGGGGTTTATGGTAAACCGGTTCTCCGGGAGTCCCACACACGCCCTGCGTTTCCCCAACGGAGGGTATGGTGTGACAAGCATTCCCCGCGTTAAAAAAAAAAGGGGTTAGTTTGTTATATATATTTTTGTGATAGGAAAGACTATAGTGGAGCAGTTCTCTTTTTCTAACTTACACATTGACAAATGTTGTCTCTGAATCATTGTTTTCTATAATTAAATTATAAGAAGAGCCCTTTAAGGAAAATGTGGTTTGGCGGTTAGACACATTCGCATTAATCACACCTTGTCAACATAGATGGCGTGCGTGTGGATCAGTAACTAAACAGTTTAAATATCAGTAATAAAACTATTGTGTACTACTAACAACAAACAATCAATTCCATAGTTTTTTATACATAGATGTTGGCTGCTTGTCCGGCTGTAATGCGATAATGGGCGAAAAAATTTGAAGCGAAAATGGAAAAAAAGATTCACTTTAAAATAATAATTATAGTAACCAAATTACACATAGAATTTCTTTTGATAAGGTTAGTACCAACAAAGTCTTAAAATGTACTAAATTATTAACTGAAACGAAAAACGAATCCAAAATGGATTGCAAAACTACAAACTTCTTGATGCACATGCCTCATGTTTCAGTTATTTCTTTAGATAAATCTGCTCTTGGCTTTTTCTAAAACACACACAAGTTCCACAGAGTTATTTATCAAGTGGTTTTCAGTACAACTAATGTGAAATATTTATTAAAGTACATTGTGTTAAGTGGCGTCATAGAGCGTCAACGTCAGAGTTGAAACCTCAAGCGCTGTCGCCACGGGCGATTTATGTCGTTATCAGCTCTGGGTATAAATTACAGCGTAGAGCAATAATTTAGGTGCACCATGCAGGAATCATTACCCGCTGCGTCGCACCCGCTCTCCCGTCTGTGAGGCTTAATTCATTTTATCTACCCGATGTTTATTTAATCTGTAATTTAATTCACTGTGTACGTTATATCAATTGAATCCTTGCGATAAAGACTATTGGCATTTACTTGGTAAGATAGTACATGAAACGTTTTGTAAATCAGTCCCAATTATTTTAATCTATGTGGTTACGGTTGAAGACTTCAATGGCGAGTTAACCTTTTGTTGAAATCAAAAATTGTAACATATAGAATGAAATCAAAAAAAACAAAAATTGAAATTGACGGTTATTATTGTCCTGAAATAAAAAGTCGTTGGACCAGTTACGGTAGTTACAAATTAATATTGTGGGCTTGGATGCTGAATGAAGTTACTATGGTGTTTTCTCCCAGTGAGATGTCCCATAACGGATTCTTTGCACATGCAGCTCTACAAGCAGTTGCCTTAATTCTAATTGGATTGCCATTAGCGTACTCTGAAATATGTTTAGGCCAGTATACTAATTGCAATATATTCACAATGTGGGACTTCTTTCCCGTATTCAGGAATATTGGTTTTGCGTCATACTATGTGATAATCATGAAAGCGACATATGTGTTGGTGTTAACGTCTTGGTATTTAATATATACCTTTTACGCAGCGATGGACATTCCACCTTGGCTAAACTGCAACGAGTTTGGTGATTGCAAGTGTATGGTAAAACGAGTAAATGTATCCATATTTCAACATTGTTTAGAAGCTCAAACATTATTCAAGGACGATTGTGGAATGAAAACAGCGAGCAACTGCTTCTTCGAACGTGAAATAGGTAATAACAGTACATCAAAGAATCCATACTGCTATCAACCGTGCAAAACAATAATAGCAGTATTGATAATATGCACGTCGGTATATCTTCTATCGATCAGGAATGAAAAAATAATTCAAATAATTATTAAGTTTTTTATCATTTATATTTGTATTGTAATATTACTTTTATTCGGTCGAGCTTTGTCTACAAATGGTACATGGTATGCAAAAAAAATAAGTCTTAACTGGAGCAGTTACAGCTTTAATAACTGTTTTACTACTGTTTCCAGAGGAATTCTATCCGTCGGTACTGGAGTTGGCGTATTATTGAGCTTGTCTCGTGACGTACCTTTTCGTAGTCCTGCTACTATGACCGCTATTAGCGTATCCTCCTTTTCATTCTTTGTATCTTTTATGTTTGCACTCATTGCATTTAGCGGTATTAAAACAATGTCTTATTATCATGGTGAAGAAGAAAATATTATTGAAGTTGGATTTAATTTATTTTTTCTCATATTTGGTTCCATGTCCGAGATTATGATTTACTTCGACCCCCTGCCCGTTTGGGGCTTTGTTTGGTTTTCTGCAGGATATGTCACATTGTTCATAAACTTTTGGATTCTATATTTATTTTTAAAAGAAACTTTGTTTAATATGTGTAGCATAGCTAGAAAATATACAAAATTTGCTAGTATGGTTCTTATGATTTCCATTTTTTTATTAACATTGCCAATGTTATGCTCAGATATAGCTGAAATTTTAACAGATGCACTAGAAATTATGCAGATATTTAATAGTTTTTTACTTTCGTTTTCATTGTATTGGGTGTATGGCATCCACAAACACAATGTTGACATAATATTTATGATTGGTATAAGAGCCAATTATCTTTTGAAACTAGCATGGTTATTAAACCCACTATTGCTTTTATTTATTTTTTATCAAACGTGGGCTAGCATCCAAGCTCAAGGCTTTCATGATTCTTTTTATATAACTGCATTAGGTATTTTTACTGATGTACTTGTACTATATGTTCTTCTGGGTGTTTATGCCTCCATAATTATTATTGGCATATTAAAGCAAATTATTACTTATGGATTGGGTGGTAATTGGTTTCAATTAATATCACCCTTAGATAGCTGGGGGCCGAAAGATAGTATTTTATTAAGAAGTAGGAACATGTTCTTACCTGAAATAATGACTAGAGAGTTTCTGTACCGGCAAGTACGCATACGCGGATATCAAAAAAAAGAAACGTGTCAAAAAAACTTGGAAACGAGACAATCAAGCGATACATTTTTGAAAGAAACTTCATGGAGTGCTTTGACCTCAAACTAGTCGATAAATTAAGATTTGAATAGTCTAACCTGACTTTTCATTGGATCTGTATTGATTTGACACATGTATTGACCTCGGTCCTCCTCTTGTACGTTTTTAATGTGTAAATTCCAAACGGTTTGACCGTTGTGCGATACCCCGACTCTGTGATTGTTTGTTATTACGTGAACATGTATTGCTTGAATAGCCTTAGTATCTGCTTTCACCCAACCCACCTGTAAATTGAATAATGTAATTAAAAATAGAATAGAGATTACTAACTGTGAGCTATAAAAAGTTTGTCATAATAAAACTGTAAGTACATTAGGTTCCCAACTTACTCTGTATCCTCCCAGATTTTGAACTAAACATCTAAATGTAGCGTTCCGGCCTATCGGTATTGTTAAATTCATTAATGGTTCAGCGAATTCTGGTTGAAATGCTTGACCTGAAAATATTTACTCATTATTCAGTGCGCCAAAAACTTTCATTTCTATGGTGACATAAATTATTTAAATTCTAAAATTAAAACAGGTGTAATAGTGTAGTGAAGAGTAACCATTCATATGTTGATATAAGCAAAAAAAAATCGCTTCGCTGGTAATGTAGCTGTCCAGTCGTGAAAGAATTGTTTAAATCAGTTTAGTGGTTTAGGAGTGAAAGCGTAATAACAAAACTCACTTTAACATTTATAATAAAAGTATGGATTGTATAAAAAAAAGTTATTTTAATAAAAAAATTACTATGTATAAAAAAAAGGTATTTAATTATAGTTGTTTCATTTTTACCACATAGTTTTAAAAAGCACTTCCTCCTTACAAACTTGAACTAAAGGATTGGTTCGTCGATGTATGTTATTATTAAGTAAATTTTATCAAAAATCTGTTCATTACATTATAATATTAAATTTTCCAAATTTTATGTTGAACTTTTTTGATATCAATTTATTCAAACTCAAAACATTAAAATAATGACATAAAAGACGAGATTAATTAAATCAAATCATATAAATTCTATTTAGTCTATTTAGTCTATTTAGTCTATTTAGTCTATTTAGTCTATATAGTCTTATTTAGTCTATTTAGATATACTTACCGACGAGCTTCGAGTCGAGTCCAAGCATAAAAATAGCAAGTAAATATATGGACCACCGCTGCTGCATATTTCTATTTCGTTAAGACACTCGGCTGTGAAGCGAAGTCTACGTTCAGCATGAGAGACTGTAACCAAAGAACACAAGAATAACACACACTCTCCGAGTCTTTACTGAAAGTAATTAAAACCCAATGCTATAAGGGGTTGAGGGATAACATTGCCTTTTTTTAACATTCAAAGTTATTCCTAAAACTTTTTAGGCAGAATGTACAAATACTATGTGATTTAATATGTAATGTATGTATACCTTTTTGGACTGAATCTAGAAAATGTATTTTTGTCTCGAGAATTATTCAAAAGTAATTAAAATGAAAATCGTTTGGCCTAGGTCTAGAAAGAAAGAAAAGGACGTATAGATTTTCACTACAAGCTTGTACAATTGTACCTAACTCTTTCATCATCCTTTTTTACCACATAAGCACATATTGGACGTTAGGTCATTCATAACGAGTCTTGCTTGAACTCCATTTTTTATTCGTATCGAATTTTTTTACGTGTACTAGTCATCTTCAAGTCTTGAATTATGTCTTCATCTGAACACGCCTTTTTATTCAACTGGCTAGGAGATAATGAGTGAATATTTTAAATAAACTAAAACGTGCCGTGATCATTCATTGAATAGGTAAAATCATTAATACTATTATATCTATTATACATACGAGTATATGGTTTTATTTAGAAAAAGTTAGGAAGAATTGTTAAGAAAATCATTTATTTAACATCAACTTAGGTGAATTCTGCTTACATAGTCCAAGATTCTCATTTTAAAGAATTGAGGACCTGTAAATTCATGTATTGCACATACAACTTCTCTCTCTCTCTCTCTCTCTCTCTCTCTCTCTCCTCTCTCTCTCTCTCTCTTATGTTAAACTCTGGAGTATATACTCACAACCTTAGTAATGTTTAATTAAATGTTGCCGATGGCAAGCAATTTAACTTTTTAAAGTATAAAATTGTAGTAGTTGTATCGTGGTTTCATCTCACAGCACGATTAATTCAATTTAATTAGAAATCTGTTTAAAAAAAACTGACAAAAAAGAGAAAAGAGTAGACATTACCGTAACTAAGCTTATTTGTTTTGTAATTAATTACTATATAATTTTATTGCAAGTGGAAGTCTTTTTCAATAGATTTTAACGGCGCGGACCTGCAACGGATACTGTGTAATAAAAATATGTTTATTAACAAAAAACAATGACATACTTACAAATAATATGCATGTTATCTTACAAAAAAACTAAATAGGTACAAAAAATATGCTCTTTATGATTATTTACTTTCCCTGTTTCGAATTTTATTCAGAGTAGGAGCAGTACTTTTTTGCTTCTATTCTACTCTATCTTCACACACAGAACTCTTCACAACAAATGTCATTGTAACATGCGTAGCTGTGTGGTGGCTTAGCAGTATGGTAGTGGACAAGCATGTATTCTAAAATTATTCAAATAAATGAATTAAATCAATTACAGGTATTGATCATACTAACTCAGTCATGAAGACGAGTTGCACATACCAATGCGTAGATCTTTTCTTTATTAGGCCATCCCAGACTAGTCGTGGCCAATGGCACTTGTTCACGAACATAGCTCATGCGGTAGCACATGTGCCAGCTCAACCTTACTAGAGAGAGCTAGAATACCACGATGTTTAGACAAGTATAGCATATGCAGAGCTACTAAGCAATATTTAAAAGTATTTGGATGAATCACAAAACAGTTTTCATGGGAACATTTTTTTTAGTTCTTCAAATTATACATTTATATTTCATTTAGAGCAATGTCAGCAGTATTTAAGATGATGTCAATTTTATGATAATAATTAGTATTTTACATTTACTTTCATATTAAAGAAATGGGTAAGTTGTCTTTTTATGCATAATTATACGGAATAGAAATGCTTTTGTAATATTCAACTTTAGCTTCGTTGAAATGAAATTTTATGCAGAGCACGGAGCAAGTTTAACACTGCGGTGTAATAGTATTCACCTTACATTTTATTTTATGTAAAATATTACTGTAATATATTATTAATAGGTTTTAATATATGATAGAAACGACATGTTTAAAACCTATAATGAAGGTTTCTAACGTCACAATTTCAACAGTATGAGTATAGATGAGAACGTAAAAAAAAAAACCAAACAGATCAGTTGAGTACAAACTTTGAAAGTTAATACAAATTGCTATTAATTTTTTCAGAAAATACACTAGCAAAATTAAATAGCTATATTATAATTTCATTTTAAAAGAATTATTCCATCCTTCCAGTTTTTTTTTCCACATGAAAGATACCAGCATGATATAATAAACTGTCTGACCATGTGGTCATACAGTTCATCTTTCATAATTATAAAATTTGAACAAAAGGGCAATGGTTTTTATAATATTTGCATGAAGGTTTTCTTGCTGTTATAAACATATAAATAGTATCTGGTACCAATTTATTGCAAAAATATCTAGATACGATATCGATACGACGTATTCACTATAGATTCAATCAGTTTTCATTAACAGTATGAATGTTGATATGATACACCGCAGCAACATAAAACCACAAAGGGTAATAGGTATAATGATTTTCAGGTGACATTATTACTTTAATGTACAACATTCAAGCAATCATGGTGCGTGCGGGAGGAAAGAATCCGATCCCTCGACCTTTGAAAATCATTCAGTAATGTTTTCATGTTACGACTATTCCTTATTATCAGGCGCGTTCGTGCAAGACTTGATCATAACAACAGCATTGAAGGTGTGAAATGAGTGCGGATGTGATCGAACACCGGTAACTACTTTTCCGCGAAGATATAATGTTTGTGAAAAAAATCAGTTTGCCTACTACACGCTCGTATTGATATGACCCCGTTCTTTCAGTGTGCGTTTAGATAAAAATATATGATATATTTTTTTCGGTTGAGTGCTGTTACGTTTAGTCGTTCTGTTAAAGGACGCTAAAGTATAGACATAAACAGAGATAGCAGCAAATATACTTTTTGTAAAGATGATTTTAGGGTACATGTTTTTTCCTGTGTTCGAGATAAAAAATTCTACACAGGAAACCTTATGAAATCGATTAGTTTTGATACCTACGTACGTAGGAAAAAGATTATTAAAAATTACATTGAGTGAAAAATTGATAAATATTGCAAATTTAACTTCCCTATCCTTATCTTTATCTTAAATTTACTATATTTCATATTAACATTTAATAATTGTTTGATAATTACATTATTTCGAGATAACTATTTATAGCATTGCATATAATATAGATATATTATATGCAATACGCAATATCAGTAGAATCATATTATTTTGTGTTTAGTGAAATAATTACTATATGATTGGATTGTTTTAAAATTGGAATCGATTTCAATCAGAAAATGTAATGAAATACAAAATATCTACATAAACAAGGTAAATGCGAGGCAACGTGACAATCGGGTCAAAGTATTCACGTCGAAGAATAATCCCGGACTCAGTTGTTATTGGCACCATGTTATACACAAATGTTTTGTTTTGTGCAAGACTAATACAGTACGGTTCGATGTATTTAGGTATTTGTAGACACCTGTCACGCGTACACGAGCTAATATGTATGTATTAAGCCCCTATGTGCAGGTGACAGAATAATGTCTCGACGTGAACGAGGATTCTGTAATAAACATTACACATACATTTTATGTGTAATCTTAATTTTTTTAAATTAATTGATAATCACAAGAGCAACACTAATTTTTGTAAATAATTTCTACTTCTAGTTTCTAGTTACACTATGCGTGAAACTAGAAAAAAGAAGTGTAATTTAACTATTTCATTCTTGGTTCTATTAAGAATTTCTTTTTAAGTGTTATTTTTTACTTACAAAAAAATATGGACCAAATTTGAACCGCCACTTTTAAATACCATTTGTTACCTTTGGCGTAGACAAAAAATTCAAGCAGAGGTAATTGTGGTGCCAAGTAACAAGCTGTGGTGAATAACATTTTAATAATTTATTTTGCTTTATTCGTAACTCAAAGGTTTAAAAAATTGTGAAAAATTCAACTCCAAATCGATAAAATTACATATTGTAGCAAATTTTTCGATTTATTTTTTTCATTTTTATTACACATTGACCATTTTTAACATAAATGTCTAGCTTTCAATAAACATAGAGACAGATCTTCAAATGTGCATTGTTCAATATATTGACACGAATAATTTAAAAATGAGTTACCCCACAAACACAATGAAATACATACACTTTTAAATTATTTGTGGTAAGTTAATTTAAAAAATGACAATAATTGTTTTTTTTTGAGAAATTGTAACTTTTTATTAATAATTTATATTAAACTAAGTCTACTGTTGTTAGTGTACACGGGGGCTCTATAACGAATAGATTCGATTTTGGAAATCCGGAATAACCGTTCGGAGTTATACTATGGTCACATAGAAAACAGGTGTTAAGTTTTACCTAAATTATTTGTAATCAATCACTTAGACTTAAGCTGATTTTAATTCTGAAGCTAAACGAAACTGCTGTGAAATGTAAATGCACTTAATAAAACAACTATTTTCAGAAATAATAAAAAGCTAAAGGTAGTTTACAATTGGCACTACGTAAAAGCGTGATTAAATATTCAGAAACACGTAAGTGATATGTTATGGAGATATAGGTCGATACAATGTATTATGCATTCCACCAAAAGTGTTACATATAGATACGTAGATGATAGCTTTGTGTATACGTATTCCGTTACGTTTTGCACAACCATGTTTTTTATTAAACTAGTAAAATGGCTGTACATATTGCTATAGAGAAAAAGAGGGAAGAATAAGAGCAATTATAAATTAAAGAAACCTGGAATAGTGTCATATCTAAAGCGTTACATTCATATTTAACAGCGGATTTTAAATACATCGTAGAAATAATTAAAATTAAATCAATCAACTTACAGGGATCTGAGAAAGATAATACTTAGTAATTAACCGATACTTTTATAATTTGCACGTGGTAACTCTGATT